GAGCAAAATTTTGTCTAATCACTATTTTCAATATTTAAAAAATTATTTAATAAAAAACAAATTCTAAAGTTCAAAAGATGTGGGCCGGCCCGGTGGCGCACTGGATAATGCGCCGCTTGGGAAGCGCGGTGGCGCTCCCGCCCGCGGGTTTGGATCCCACATACAGACCGGTTCCCGCTCGCTGGCTGAGCGAGGCACGGGAGCAACACCGAGGCTTGCGATCCCGTTGCCGGTCCCCGGTCCAGTACGGGGGCAACACTGAGGGTTGCGATCCATTGCCGGACACGGAAAAAAGACAAAAAAGACACACACACACACAAAAAAAAAGTTCATGAAAAGATTCATATTATCTTTAATTCTAGTTTCCACAATTTAAAAAAAAATCCTCATTTGTGTATATATATATAAAATATATACACACACACACATATATATATATATGTAGAGAGAGAAAGAGAATAACAAAATTTTATGAATATTAAGAATTGGTAAATCTGAGTGAAGTGTTTATAGAAATTTTAATTCTTTTTACTATTCTTGCAAATTTTCTGTAAGTTTTAAATTATTTAAAAATAAACTACTGGGAGAAAGTTTGAGAGGAATGATGGGATAGTCCTACATCCTCAAAAAGCCATTATGTAGATTAATTATTAATTACAGAGAGTAAAGGGACCTTTGCAGGAGAGAAGTCTTGCTGCCACCACTATAACCAGGGGATTAAATCTAGCATCTCCAGTAATGAGACAAGTTGAACATTGTGTGCCTCCTGATATAATGCACCAAGAAGGACACGACACTCCCAAATTTAACCTGAACTTAATTACAAGGAAATATCAGACAAAGAAAGATTGAGGGACATTCTACAAAAGTGACCTCGTCTCTATGAAAATGTCAATGACATGAGAGACAAAGAAAGACTGAGTAACAGTTCCAGATTAAAGAAGAATGAAGAGCCATGAGAAGTATCTAAAATACATGATCTTGGATCAGGTTGAAAACAATTAGAAAGGGCATGATTTTGACAACATGGGGAATTTTAAATATTAATAATGTATATTAGACAACAGTATTGTATCAATGTTAAGTTCCCTAAGTGTAGGAACTCTATTGCAGTCACAAAGGGAGAATATAATTTTCTTAGGAGACACATACTTAAGTATTTAAAGGTGAAGAGTAATGACGGCTACAACTTGCTTCAAATTGCTCACGGAAAAAAAATATTTTAAAAATAGAACAAATACCCCGAAGTACCCACAGAGACTAATACACATGTTAACACTGTCTGTCATGTGTGGTGTTTTTGAAATGTACCTTTCCCAGAATGCTGATAGCACACGCCATGCCAACTTGTCCAACACCCACTACAGTGATCTTATTGTTTGGGACCGTTGTCTCCTCTTCTGCAACTGGTGCAATGAGTTTTTCCTTAAGAGTTGCCATTGTGCACTGCAAGAAAGGAATCAAAATATTATACATATGAAATCCGAATGGGAGTCATCCTTAAAATGTTACTGTTGCAATTTTGAACTGAAGTACAAATTAAAACGAACCTAATTATATTGTAGAACACAGTATATATTTTAAAGAACCATGAGACCCACTTAATGGAGAATTTAATTAAGGCAAAAACCTCCCCAAAGCCCATTAAAATTGGGTTCTTTTGTTCATCCATGATTCCACCTGAATATTTAATAGGTTGTAACCATTTTGTATTATAACCATTCATTCACCTGCTAAAAGACATGAATATTTATATTATCTGATTTGTTTCTGTTTCTCCTGTAGACAATTCATATATAACTGTGTAAACTAAGTTTGGGCTCAGTATTAGCCCATATGTAAGCTTGGTCAAAAAGAATTAAATGGCCCATTCTGAATATAATTTCTACTACTAATGGTATTATCACTCATGGGTGATAGGAACTGCTTCTACTTTGTCTCATATAAAATGTATCAATGTATTAGACATACAATGTATGCTTAATAAATACATACTGACAATACAATGGCAATGAATGCTTATGGAAAGTCTGTAAAAATATTACTCTGAATTCCTTTTAGTGCACATCGGAAGGTGAGCAGATACTTAATACATTTTCCTTTCAGGAGGTCACTTTAGGAGAACATCAGTCTTTGAACCAGTTTCCTTCCAACCATACTAAATAGAACCCCCAAAAAGTTTTTAAAAAACAAATAAAATTGAAACCTGTTAGAATACATCCTATACAGTAATTTATTTGTGCCATCATATAATCAGATGCATTTTTCTGGATAATTGAAACAAACATTAAAATTTATTGGAATGAACTTATTAATTCCGTGGCAATTCAGTACACAAAACAGACTGCTTTGCCTTATTAAACAGTGAGGATAGAGACCATAAATAAGCCTTTTCTTCACAATTATCACTTATAATTGTAATGACCCATTGTAATGTTTAATTCTTTAGTTTCCTTTTTAGTTTTTGTGCTAGACTTAACTGTCCTGTCTGAGTCCACGATACCTGTTTCAAACTGTGCCACAGCTTCCTAGTTCTGTTTTTGCCTCTAATCTGCAATGGACTAAGTAACAGAACCTAGTTCAGTAATTGTAAAGTACGAGTTAGTAGGGCTTTGAATTAGAATCAAGTATCTGCACTTAGACACAACTGTGTAACAACCATTTTGTTCTACAATTATTTTTTTCTAAAAAAATATTTTTCTCCAATCTGTAAGGACTAAACTGAGAGTATCTTGCCTTTACAGACCACATGTACTGGTTTCTAGTGGATACTATAGAGAAAAGACGAATGCAATGCTGTGCAAACGCCTCCACAAATACCTAACCTTAAAATGAAATTCAAACATGTCCTGCATTTTGAGCAGGATCAGAAGAAAGAATGGCGCATCTCTTCTTGCTGAACTCAGAAATGCTTAGTTTTTCTCCACTTAAGTTTATTTTTGTTAGTTGTTTACAATCATTTAGCTATACAGGGGACCCAATAAGCAGTGGAAAACAAAAACCCAGAAATGGTTGCTATATAAATACAGATTCGTTGTTCTGACAGAACAAAAACCTTCCTTTCAGACTATCTCTCATTCTAACCTTTTAAAAATCCAGTTTTTGCCATGTCCTTCCTCCACGAAGCAAGAGCCCGCTCTCCCCTGCCCCCTCCCCAGGCCCTAACTGCAGCGTGCACAGCTCGCCGCCACGGGCCACGGCTGCCACCCGCGCCGGCAGCGGAGAACAGCAGGTCACGAGGGCACCCTCAGATCTCCTTGGATAAGGTCGCGAAGCATAAGTCTAGGCCTTCCTTCCTCCGAGCACCCAAAGCTGGCAGAGAAAACGCGGCACCTGAGCATCAAGGAAAAAGGCCAGAGGACAAGCGGCGCGCCGCTCCTGGAAGAGCTGCGTCGGCAGCCGGCGAGACACTGCAGAGCGGGGCCAAACGTGCAGCTCATCTAATACCTTTACCCTCACCCCGGCAAATGCACGGGCACTGCTCCCTGACCGCGGGAGCGGATTCGAACACCCAGGTTCAAGATCGTCCAGCCTTCCCAGGCCACGCGATTCCCCCCCCTCCCCCCGCCCCCCCAAGCAACTCGGGCACGTGTCTCGGCTCCCGGACGTGATGCTGCTGCCACGAGCCGCTCAAGGAC